TTTACATCTGAAAGGTCCGATCTTTTGTGTAAATGTCCCTTGCGAGCGAACAATTCAATTTTAATAGATATGGGAAAGGTGGATTCCATCATCCACAAGGGGTTTTTAGGAATGCTCACTGAGGAATTTGCACATGGTTATCTTGATTTTTATTTTTTCCAATAAGTTGAAGAATTTATTTATTGAGTTCTGCGTGAAGCCTTGTGTTTTCTAATAAACTGTTAATTATTGCTGATTTACATCATAAAAACTTGTGATTCTGTTTTCTTAGACATCAATTTCAAAGAAACGAGATGGAACACCTCTAGTCTCTAGAATCTAAAGATTTTATCTTTAGGTTTTGAGGACGGTAAATCCTTGGCAGAATTTAGGATAAATAGATTAATTTATCCTTATATAATAGTCTTAATTTTCAATATATCTCTATATTTTTAATTATATCTATTATGTCACTTAATATTTGTCTTTTTCATCTTTTTTCGAATTTGTTTTTACCATAGAAAAATGAAAAATTAACTGAAATGTAAAAAAAAAAAAAAATCTAAAGACTTAAAAACTAGAATATACCATGCCACTTTGAGTGTTTTTTTTTTTTTTTTCATTTCAAACAAAGGTATTTCAGTTAAATTTTTTGCTCATGATCTAAAAAATTGATCAAAAAATAGATTGAAAACCTAAATATTATTGGTAAAAAAACTCAAACTATTATATAAAAATATGTTGCTCTATTTATCTTAAAGTTTATTTTTCATAAAGTTGACACAATATAATTTATGTAATCTAAAATCAGAGGTTTTTGGTTTTGCAAAATTCTATATTTATTACATAACTCAGTGTTCAATTTGTGAAAAAAAAAAAAAAATCTTTTTTTGATGGAGATTCGATCAGACAGTAGATTTTATGACAAAAAGAAACAGTAGCTTTTATTCACTAACGGACCTAGCATAGGTAGAAAATACGTCCACCAACAATTCCAAGTAACTATACTGAAAATACACAAATGAAGAGATGAGCCGAATTGCAAGCTACACGCGGCCCAAATATGAATTCTGAGAGAGAACGAAAATCCCCCGCGTGGTGCCTCCTCGATGCCAAAATCGAATTTCTGCTAAATCAGCGCAAGAGGATGTATATCATGCTGAACAGTCGAAGCACACACCGCAAAATTAGCCACCAACTTAAGTTGTCCAGTTAAGATTTTGATTGGGTAGTGAGTCAGTTAGGTCAATATTCCTAGTCCTCTTTGTCTTGTTGTAATTTGCTCATTCTAAAATAATTTAACTAAAATTGAGGTCACGTATGTATCACTCTTTTTAATTTCAACAAATGGATTCATCTACATCTCTCTGCATGGGAATATCAAAAAAATCATATGAATGACAACTTGGCTTATCCATATAGCTATCTTGTCCACAAACAAAAGCGTGGAACAAAATGTGGAGATATAAATGGGATTTAAATATGGTTAAAAACTATTTTGGAATATTGGTAAAAAAGCAAAATTTTAACCATTTTTATTATAATTTGGATTTTAAAATTCCTTTTTTTTTTTTATCAACAATGACCTCATTCTATCTAATGATTAATCTTGGATGGCATTGACTGCACATGATAAACATGTGTTCCTTTGATATCATAACATGTATTATGTTAGCACCTAAATTTTATTTGTTTATTTTCATAAATTCTTAAAAAATATATATAAAATATAAAAATGACAAAAAATAATAAAAGGGATTGAAAAGTTTAATTGAGGGATGCAATTGAAAGAAAATGGAGAAAAAAAGATCAAAATAAAATAGGTCTACAAAATCGAGGATGAAATCGGATTTTAGCCCACAAATGCTAAAAAATTAGTATAAAAACCCTCTTTTTTCAAACCTAGCCAGCCACTCTCTCTCTCTCTCTAAAAATTTTTTACAGCCACACACTCTCTCTCTGGAAAATCCGGTTAGCCCCCTCTCCCTTTGAAATTTTCGATTAGCCACCCCTTGCCTAATTACCATTTGTCCTTTCACCAGCCAATCTACCACGAGGAGCTTCAATCTCGACCCAATGCCACTAAAGCCTATAGTTGTCCACAAGCCAGCCATTTTCTACCATCGATCGAGACAAATCAGAAGCAATCATCGCTGTTGATCGTCCTTCCTATTGAAACCACCCAATCCAAGACGAATTGAAATCGACCCGCACTATCGATCATCTTCTTTGTTGAAGTTGTCCATTCCAGGGGTAGCTTCATCGTCGATCGTCTTTGGTATTACAATTCATCTACGAAGTCCAGTCACGACCAGCACCGCTTTTTCCACCACCCCTGTAGCCATCGCTATTCACTCTAGTACACCAGCATCGTTTGATCCAGTCGATCCAATCATGGTCCAAGGCAGCACCACCATCAGCAAGCACCACCAGACATCCAGCTACGCTCCGGTTACCAATAGTCGTGCCACTTGATATCAGATTCAGATCCGACAACGTCAATCGTTCTTCCTCCCCGATTAATTGAATAATCGATCTCTATCGAGGTTAAAAAGGTCAAAACTGATCTCATTTTGACCATAAAAAATTCCTTCGACTTTTTCACATTTTTTTCAGCAAGTAAATTGTCCTAATCTTTAAATTTAATTTGTATGACTGTAAATTAATGTAAATTGATTGTGTAGAGATTTGATGTTTGATGTCGATTGAAATGTTTAAGGTACATCATAGTGTAATGTTTAAGGTACATTATAGTGTATCGAGCCTAAGAAAGGGTCGGAGACCCCGGGTACTATTGAGACGGAATAAGGTGATTCAATGTTTTGTGATTCTTTTTGTTGTTCCTTGTTTGTGATTGGATTGAGTATGCCCGATTATATTATTTTTATGTTGTTGATTAAGGATCCGTTTGCTACTTGATAATTATTATCGGGATTTGCCATTTGCATGATCATTGTTTTTTGTGAAAATCATGGTATTTGTAATCACGTTGATTTGAATCCCCTTTTCGGACAATTTTTTGTCAATGGGGATGATGAAATTGTTCTTGTCGCTATTTTTGTCAAAAATGTGATGTTTGAAGTTGCATCGGTCTAAACCCCTATTTAGATCATTTTTGCCAATTTTTCCTAAAACGACTATTTTGTAAAATCATGACTTTGAAGTTGTGTCGATCCAAACCTTAATTCAAACCGTTCACGTCAATATTGCTTAACATGCCAATTTCATTTGGCAAATTTATTTGCCATATGTTTGAAAATCACGACACTTGAAGCCGTGTCAATTTCGGATCGTTTTTGCTAATTTGTTTAAAAAATTAGAGATTTGAAGTCGGTTTGAAACTTGTTTTAAGATCATTTTTGTCAATTTCAATGATTTTGTCAATTTGCTTGAAAATTTGAATTTGTAGTTATGATAGTCTAAATCCTGTTTTTGAATTATTTTTGCCAATTTGTTTAAAAATTTTGAAATTTGAAGTCATGTTAGTTTGAATCTTGTTTTCGGACTATCTTTGTCATTTTTTTTATATGCTTTTTCCATCTCTATTGTGTGAATTTTAATTTAATTTTCCTGAATTTAGACTTATAATGTCCGAGAATGAGGATATAACCTTTGACTCGACAAGTCTCAAATCACTCATATGGTTGGCAAATATTTAGAAAATAGGCATAGATCTTCATTATAAAAAAAAAAAAACCAGAAATCAAGTCAGAAATTATATACAATGCAACTTGACTTAAGCATGACAGTATAAGGTGATTTTCAATTTTTTCTATACGTAATCAACTCTTTATCTAGAATTTTAACAGATCAGTAATATAATTTTTTTTTGTAACCTTAATACTACGTGGGGATTAAATTTTTACCCATTCCTTATTTCCAAAATCGTCACGTTCTCCCTGACGTCGCGCTGCAGCATGTTCAAAGAGAGACACTCCTAGACATATAATTGTTGGTCCCCTTAAAAATAAAATCACCCGCATGTCCCTTGTATTAATCCTAATTATAATAATCCTAATTTATGACTATTAAAATTTAAAAGAAATCGAATACTCTCAAATAAGTGCAATCATATGTTTGAAAGTGTTTCTATATTAAAGTTTTATGTGCCTGAGATAAGTGGTCAAAACTATCGAAAATTAGTCAACTAGATGAAAGAATGACATTATTGGTAGAAAAAAAAAAAAAGAGTTCAAGACCAAAATCAAAAAATAAAATAAGAACTAGTTTTCTATTGAACACTATTTTGTCGGGTGCTACTACGTCTTTTCAATTCCAAAAACTAGCCCGAAGAAAGAATCTTTCTTTTACAATTATAAGCAAACGCCCAATCTCTTCCAATGTGGGATAACACAATAATATTTTTATTAACACAAGGCATTAAGTTGGCTATTTATTATCAACTTAAGTGGTGCCAACACATAAAAAATTGCTTAACCTAGATTTTACTATCAGTATTGGATGCTATTAGGCGTTCTCAATCTCAAAAACTACCTCAAATAATTAGACTTTTTCTCATATTTATAACCATACATACAATTCCTTCCATAACTAGTGTGAGATAAGACAACAATTGGTGGGGCGAGAGAGGCCAATAAGCCTTTAATTATATCAAGCCAAATTACTTATTAATGTCCACTTGATGGATGCAAATATGTATTTTTTGCCGTTGACTGCCGAGTAAATGAGAATTTGATCCTTTTCCAAAGAGATAGGCCAAGCAAGCAAGTCCAACCATTAGCGACAGCAACGCTTAGGTATATTGGATTGGTATAAGAATCGAATCATTTAGAATATAGAAGTATCATTCATTTTTCCATGGCTTGAGTAGAAGATAATCTTCAAGTCTTTGTAAGTTGGCTATTAGTTCCAATCACATAGAGGGAATTGAGTGATTTCAATCATGCAAATTTGGAAGTGGCAATAGGCTTTAAAAAATCAACATTTGTTCGTATAAAAAAGGGCCCCTTCAACATTAGTAGCTGCCTACCAGGAAAAGAAATGCTAATGGCTGAGTTCATATGCAAAAAGAAATGAAGAGCTTCAGCTTGCAAATACTATCCAGTCGATGGTTTATGATATTTGCTTCACTTCTGATCATGTCTGTCAATGGCACAAGTTACATGTTTGGTCTCTACTCCGGTGACATAAAAAAATCTTTAGGATATGATCAAACAACCCTCAATGCTCTAAGCTTCTTCAAAGATCTTGGTGGCAATCTTGGAGTCTCGGCAGGTCTTGTTTACGAAATCATGCCACCTTGGGTGGTTCTCTCCATTGGTGCAATCATGAACTTCTCTGCATATTTCTTGATATGGGTAGCAGTCACTGGCCGCATAACCAAACCCCTTGTCTGGCAAATGTGTTTGTACATTTGTCTTGCCACAAATGCAGCATCGTATCCCAATACTGGAGCTCTCGTTACGTGTGTGAAGAATTTCCCTGAAAGCCGAGGCAGTGTTATAGGCCTCTTGAAGGGGCTTATCGGTCTAAGTGGTGCAATTATGACACAAATCTACCATGCTTTCTATGGTAACGATTCCAAGTCTCTTATCTTGCTCATTGCCTGGATTCCAGCCATTTTCCCCCTAGTTTTTCTACGAACAATCCGCATTATGAAAGTTGTTCGAGGAGAGAAGGAGCTAAAAGTTTTCTACAACTTTCTTTATACTGCTTTGGGCCTTGCTGGATTTATCATGTTCATCATCATCATACAGAATAAGCTCAAGTTTACTAGAGCCGAGTATATAGGAAGTGCTACATTTGTTCTTGCCTTACTCTTTCTTCCACTTGCTATCGTCATAAAAGAAGAGTTCGCTCTCTGGCAAAGCAAGAAGCAGACCATGAATGACCATTATCAATTAAATGTTGTAGCTGAAAATCCTTCAGCAGTTGTCACTAAACCACTCGGAGCAAAATTAGAGCCACTTTCTTGCATTGTGAGCATTTTCAATCAACCAGATAGAGGTGAGGACTATACCATACTACAAGCTATTTTCAGCATTGACATGCTAATTATCTTAATTGCAACAACTTGTGGTGTTGGTGGGGCACTAGCAGCTATTGACAATTTGGGTCAGATTGCGGACTCACAAGGCTACAAAACACATAATATAGCTACCTTTATATCCCTTATGAGTGTGTGGAATTTCCTTGGCCGAGTTCTTTCAAGTTTTGCCTCTGAAATAGCCTTGACCAAGTACAAGTTCCCTCGTCCCCTAATACTCACTTTTGTGATCCTTCTCTCTTGTGTTGGCCATATTTTAATCGCTTTTGGAGTGCAAAATTCTCTTTACATCTCTTCAATCATTATTGGATTCTGCCTTGGAGCACAATTGCCATTAGTGTCCGCCATCATATCTGAAATATTTGGCCTTAAACATTTCTCTACTTTGTATAGTGTTGGATCTGTTTCTAGCCCAATTGGGTCTTATATTTTCAATGTGAAAGTGGCTGGTCATTTATATGATAAAGAGGCCTTGAAACAAATGGAAGCTTTAGGTCTGAGGAGAGAAGCAGGGAAGGAATTGAATTGCTCTGGGGTGCATTGCTTTAGAAAGGCTTTCGTTATAGTTACAGCAGCAACATTTTTTGGGTTTTTAGTTTCAATTGTTTTAGTGTATAGGACAAGAAAGTTCTACAAAGGTGACATTTACAAGAAGTTTAGAGAGGAAGCAGTGGTAATGGAGGCAGATGGTGTCAATATTCCACCTGGAGAGACAGAAGCCAAAGAGAAAGTGGATGCTAATGCTGGTACCTCCACCTCCATAATCACGCCCAACCACTAATGAATTATTACTGATAAGTTTGAGACAGAGAAAGAGAAGTACGTTAATTTGGTTTAACTTTGTAATGGTGTATTCTTTCTTTTTTTCTTCTTCTTCTTCTTTTTTTTCTATTTTTAATGTATCATCCTTCAATTAAATTAAAAAAATGATATTTTCAATCTATTTAACACCTGTGAAAATTAAAACCCATGTCTCCAATTTAATAAAAACAGAGTATTCGGGTCGGAGTTAGATTATTCAATAGCTAGTATTTAATTTGTGGGGAAAATAATCTTTTCAAACAAGCAACCAGTAGGTTTTTAACGATTAAAAAACAGCAGATTTTGTTCACTGATGGGCCTAGCCCAGGAAACAATTCAAAGTTTCTCGTCCAAGACTTGGGCTCAAATGAACACAAGCAGCCCAAATATAGAACTAGTATGCTAAGCTATGAGTAACTGGAAACCTTGATAGCTTTGGCAGTTGGCACTGGGTTAGAAATTTATCCCGAAACATCAGCACTTGAATTGCGTATGTATGCTTGGGTAATGTGTGTTTTCCTAACAATTTTTTTGGATTTGGATCCTTTTGTGTGCTTAAGAAATGGTATGTTCCAAATCTCATTTTGAATTCAATGAGACAGAAATTGAGATGCGATTGAGATTTTGACTCAACATTATTGCTTACAGCTGTATGAAAAATTTTCCAGAATCCCGTTCTTGATTGTATTGATTATGTTATTGGCTTCTTGTTAGTGTACGAGGAATCTGGTACATGAACTGGAGGAAAATTAACCAGAGATTTTATTTCACTTCTGAATGGATCCGAATGGGCCTCAATGCGGTTTAACCAGGGTGATGGTGGAACATGAGAAAACGAAAAGAGCAAAGACTGATGCCATTGAGTTGAGCAAAGACTGATGGGCCTCAAAGCGGTCTGCCTACCGAGCTCTTGCTAATGATATTGGTATGCCTCTCAATTCTTGATTACCTCTCTTTTCGCGCTGTCTGTAGATGCTTGCGTGATGCTTTCTTCAATGGCTCACATCATTCTTTGATCAATTGCAAGAGCAATTAACTTGGGCGGTTTTTTCAGGGTTGACAAGGGTTTATAACAAAACATTGATAATATGGACTATGTTCAACAAAATACAGCTGAACTACAACCAGTGTTCTACACAACAGGAAAGATAGGAGACTCCATTACCAAGCGTGTCTATAACATCCCAGAATTGCACGAGAAAAGTCTCCTCCTGTCAAAACATGGTTGGCTTCGTCTTTTCTCTGTAATGGCCTCATCTAACTCTTCCCTTTACTTCGTCCATCTTTTCACTGGCTCAAAAATTTATCTCCCTTGCCTAGGCATTTCTTCTTTGGAGCGCCCAATATTTGCTATAACTGCTCCGCCTACATCTGAAGATTGTGTTATATTTATCGTAAGTTGCATTGAAGATAAGGTTGGCAATGATTGCGCTAAAATTAAGTTTTGCCACCGGAGACAATCTGCGTGGAGCACAGGCATAATCTCTGTCGAAGATTATAGAATTTCGGATGTTGATAATTTGGTTTTTGCCGGAGGATTTTTCTACTGCTTACACCAAGGCGGCCATTTGAGTGCTTTTAGCGTTTCAGGTCACAGCTGGACTGTATGTAGAAGTGATCGATGGTTGGGAATCGAAAGATGTAGTTAGACCACCTACACTAGTACTTCGTGACGGCTTTTTTGATACCGATGTTCATTGGTGCATTGAATATGGTAGTCCTATTGCGCCTACAGTTTTTACTTTGAAGGAGTTGATTCAATCACGGGATCCATTGGAGGTTTTATGTGACGAAGATCTGAATCTATGGGTGACGTTCTGAAAATTCGTACTTTTATACAAACCGGAGAATGCTTTCGTTTTATGGAAAGATAGATTAAGATTCGAATCGTTCAGCCCTAGCATGTGGTTTGGTCTTTGTGAGTTAACAGAAGGGGACGTGGGATTTGTTATGCACTAGCAAGAGCCATTCCCAAAGGCATATCTCCGAGAAAAATTCTCTACAGCAATTGTATGGCTTGGACTCGGGTGGGTTGAACCTTTTCATTCAGAGTCTAAGCTGGAGCACCTGAGTTTGATGCCAGGCATTAAGATCTCTTCTGGTTTCTTATATCTTCGTCAGTTGTTACCTTCTCCTTTTGAATTTGTGATGGATGCAATTATTATAAAACACAATCTTAATTGCTTCTAGTGTATTAATGAATGGCTTCCTAATTACATTAGGCTTTTCTTCCTTTTTATTGAGATGGCTTTTATTTATTTTTCCCTATCAGGACTTCAATAGGTTATCTTCGATTGGTGCATTCAGGAAAATTTTCTTTCCCTGTTAACTTTGTTGTTATGGAGACAAATAATTGGCAAACTCTACACCGCCTTTGGATTATATACTGAAATTAGATCTTGTGTCATTCAGTTTGAGCAATTTCCAGCCATCACTCTTAGATGGGTGCAGAAGCCATTGCAATTGTTCCTAAATCTTATCTATTGTAGATGTCTACTAGATAACATCCTAAGCCTTTAAAAGCCACGAGTTCAAAAACTTCAAAGATGCCAATTGTTTATCGCTCTTGCAAGAATCACAGCTGAACAGATGAGAAGTACTTGATTGTTGACACAAGCGTTACGCTTTTGAACCTTATTAACAATTAGGTACCGAAGATGTTTATCCATCAAGAGTTGACTTGGAACTAACATTCCTGAAGAGAGAAATTGCAAACTTAAAATGTTCTTGTCTCGTTTGATTGGAAGGGCATCAAGGACAAGAACAAACGAGGAGCAAATGCATCCGTTCAAACAATAGTTTGTTCCGGGGAATGTGTTAGGCGTCTTGAATTCACTTGGAACTGACATTACTAAAATTAAAATGTCTTTTAGTAGCGAGAACGCCTTCAAGCATATTTTATTCTTTTCTATCATTCATAAATTCCTAAGAAAGCTACAACTCTGAAATCCAAATGCTACTTCTGCTACAAATCCATGAGCACATCATACAATAAATGGTATACTGAATTCATAAGGTTCAGATTTTATATTCAAATCCAACAGTCCAAAAATTAGCACATCTCCTATTCCAAAAGTTCTCTTTTATTTCAATCTTTAATCCAAAAATTACTTTCACATCTTCTTCCAACAACAATAAACATCAAACTAAAAAATTAAAATCAAAATAATGAATTCCTTAACAGCATACCTTCCACAATAATTGTCAAACTCGGCAAGAGACCCAATTCTTATGAGTACTAATTAGAGCAGATAAAAGCCCTGCACAGGATACCAAAAGCGGCCCCGAAAACCGCCCTCTGCCGTCACGAATATCACTCAGAGCCATCAAACCATCAGCAAAATCCTGCACGATCGATAATTTCTTCATCAACTTCTTCTCCCTCAGCTTCCACAATCTCCTCTCTTCCCCTTGACACTCATCCCCTCTGGTAACTGCAACTTTAATGCAGGATTCCAGACACAACTCATCTTCACTCAATTTCTTTAAATCTCTAAATTTCAAAGAAATACTCCCAACATACCCAACAAACTCCGCCAACGCGCTAATTTTTCCTAAACTTTTGGAGTGTTTGCTATCAATCAAGCCCGATTTAGCCAACCAAACAAACTGCTCGACGAAATAATACAAACCTTCACCTCCATAGGCAATGATCGAGAGAATGATTTCTTGTTTTGAATCAAAATGAGAGTCTCTTAACGCGTTGATATCTTGAACAAATTTCCCAAGTCGAAATGCTTTGCGACTGAGTCCAACACTTGACTCGAAACTCTTGAGTCGTTTCGTTAAGATTAAGGTTTCCGGGAGGACGGATGAGGCTAAGATGATCTTGCTTGCGTAACGTGAGATCTTGAGGAGCTTGTCAACCCCATCTCGTTTTGCAAGGTAAGCCTCTAAATGATTCAAAAAGTCTCTCTGTCTCGGTTTATTAGGGGTTTGATTGGCACTTTTTGGAGTTGGTGAAGGCTTGGAATCCATGGTGATGGTGATCCAAAACAGAGAGAAATTGTTGGTGAGAGTGCGTACAACAGGAATTTCTATGTCAAAGGAAATCTTTCGCGAGAGAGAATTGAGACGAGATGGAATGGGTTACCTACTTACCTTCCATTACTTTGTCTCGTCTGCTTGCTTATTGTTTTGCGTGCCACGCTCCTCAGCAACGGTGAGAATGACACGGATTTGGCTTAACGCTATATTTGGTACTTGTACTCTTCACATGTTTTTAAAGTAGGTCCTTATTTTTTTAATTTATGTGGTCCCTCTACTCATGAACAAATCTCAACATGGTCTATCCAATTTTTGTGCAATTTACCATTAGTTTTTTTTACCGATAAACGAGGAGGGCTAGCAATATTCTTTATAATACTTTCTCTTGAACATTTGCTTAATAAAAATATTCACGTCAAATAATAACAAATAAAAGATAACAACAAATAAAAGATAACTCGATATCTTATATTCTCATAATTTTTTTATGTCATAATCAATCTCATATTATCTAAAAGATTAAAATATTTTTTATTTATTTGTTTATTTTTAAAATTACATAAAAAAAAATTTTAACATAGACATTTTATCGAATAAATGTTTAAAGAAGAGTATAAGAGAAAATGTTGCTAGCACTCTTCCTAATAAACACACATGTCGGATTAAGGACAAATTTCAAACAAAGTAAACAATGAAAAACCCTAAAAATCAAAAGAACAAATTAGAAAATGAAAAAAATTAAGAATGAGAGGGGAAAAAAATGTAACATTAAAGGAATTATACATAATAAATCTCTAGTCCATTGTACGTTCAAACCCTTTTCTTTCTCTCTTTCGTTATCAATCACCACCATGCTCCAACTTCCTATCTCCCATATTTCCATCTTCACCCACCACATTCATCGAACTCTCTCTCCTCTCTTTCACCATCGACCATCAATGTCATTGCCTAACACTAGCAATGACAAATATAGTAAAATTGATCTTTTGAAATCAAACAAATTTTTAGAAATACAAGTACATATGGAGTTTAGGATTTTTGGATGATATTACTAAAGTGATTCTCCGTCCTTAAAAAAATCTTACAAAACTAAACTAATAAGGGGCTCATTTTAGACTTTTAATGACCTCACCGTTTTGGGCACCTCGTGTCTATATGATTTGCGAATCGAGACATGTGCATATCCGTGGTTTGAAAAAGGCAATTGAGTCCCCGCATTTGAATTTGGCATTACCGTCCACCATCCTCTCTAATTTGTTGTTAATTTTGACTTTTGCACCACATGAATACACGTGTCATTCTATCGTTTGTCAACATTTTATTATTAACTTTTAGTTTTGGAAATTTTTTAATTCGTTTTTTATTTTTTTAATATTTTGTGATCAGTTAGTTGTGTATTTTTTATTTGAAAAAATTAAACTAACCTCACCAAAAAACTATTTAATGAACAATATCATTTACTTAAGTAATCGACAAAAAATAAATAAATAAATAATCCAAATGAAAAATATCTTTACTAAAATAATTCACCTCATTTTTTTCTTTCCAAAAAGCAATTTTGGTCATAGAACTATAATCTCTCTATTTCTCTTGTATTTTACGAGGCAAAGACGCATAATGATTTCAAAGTGCACTCAAACAAACCTTACTTGGTTAGAAAAAAGGAAAAGTCATAATCATAAGCTAACGGGGAAAAAAAGGTCATTTTAGTCGATAACTATTGAATTGTCACATGCATATTAAAAACTCAATATCTAGAGAAGAGTTGCTCCAAATAAGCAAATTTATACAAGCTATTCGAACATCGGATGAAATCATGGAAAAAAATTACTCCAAATAAAAATTTATACAAGCTATGCGGACGGCATATAAAATCATGAAAAAAATCGATGAGCCTTGATGATACTTGTCATTCGGGTGTCTCGAGCATACCATTCTTGGGGATAAGATTTTTGGTCGAAGCCAATGACTAAGTAAGAATTGATTGGTACCTCGACGGAAAGCTACTTCCTCTTGACAAAAGTTTTACTTACATAAAAACTTTAAGTACTAAGGTGTTGTTTGATAATCGGGAATAGAGTGATGAAAATAAAAATGCGGGAATCGAAATGAAAATTACGAAATCGAAATGGTATTTGTATTCCAATATTGTGTTTGGAATACTAATAAAAAATCGAATGCAATTTAAATTTTTTAATATCTTATTTTTTATACAAATAAAAATAATTATTAAAAAAATAATTTGTTAAACTATAATTGTTGTAAAAATAATAAAGATGATGGTGGTGGCGACGGTAATGATTACGGTAGTGACGGTGGTGGTAGTGGTTGTGATTGTGGTAATGATGGTAGTGGTGGTGGTGGTTGTAATGTTGGTTGTGATGGTTGTGATAGTGGTAGTGATGTTGGTGGTGGTAGTTGTGATTGTGATAATGATGTTGGTTGTGATGGTGGTGGTGGTGGTTGCGGTGGTTACGGTGATGGTGGTGGTGATGGTAGTTGTGGTAGTAGTGATGGTAGTAAAAGTAGTTAATAGACAATAAATAAATAAATAAATAAATATATATATTATTTTGAAAAAAAAAACATTCTCATTCCTTATTTGTTATTCCCACATCTTATTTGGGAATGAAGTTATGTGTAAATTTTTATTCTCATTCTCACTCTTCATTCCTTTTAACCAAACAGACTATAATATGGGAATAAAACTTTCATCCTCATTCTTACCACTATATTCTCGATTACCAAACAGACACTGAGGGTTTTGGATTTTTAATCCTCGCCCCTCCTACATACATAGAGATATACACAAAGTCTATTCTTACACCTCCTCTTTTTTATTACTCACTTTACCATCGGAGAGATCTTTCAAACCACTAAGAGAGCTTATCTTGCATACGACTTGAACATAAAAGTCTCTCCAAGTCATTAATCTCTATTGTCAATCATCGGTTATAAAGAGCCGCATGATCATTCATTACTATTTAAGTTTCTTAGACTCATCAATTGATACTATGTGTGAAAATTGAGAAGAAGAAAAAGCCAATTTCTAGCATCATAGTTTGACTCCCAAGCTTTTTTACAAAAAACCTAGGTCATACGATCTCGTCGAGCCATGTCGGTCCCGAGTATCCAACACGAGGACATGTTTTAATTACAACAACACATCTAGAATCTTAAAAAAATGTTTTTAGCAATATAAAAACAAATAAAGACGATGATCGCACCTTCACACATACCATAAGCAACCCCTCATGTAGGGAGCCTTGTCCTAACCCTACACAAATAGACATGACCTTGGAAAGAATCTTTTTATCCGGACAAGTCTCATTCCTTGTTGCAAAGCTTAAGAAAACATACCTACGGGTCTCAACCTATCATACTCTCCATTTAACTCTAATAATTTCAAAACAAAAACACAAAAAGTGAATTTAGAATGATGGCTCTAACCGGAAAAATTAACTTCCATCAACTTCTTTTTGAAAATTTTGAATTCTAAATCTATTAAAAGAGAATTAACCACCATAGTTATCGGATAAATTACATGTTATTTTTATAAGGAGATTAATCTTGAGATATGCCTAAATGTAGCCTCACTTTTACTCTATAAAATGCAATAAAAAATATTTAGCCTTGTAATATTTGATTTCTTCTTTTTGTAAGTAGACGACTACTTAATTCTTCCATATCAACGAGTTACCCTTAAGCCACGATCTACTAAAAGTACTTACAAGATGTCAAAGTTCTTAATGACATACTCGATGATGTAACTCTAGTTTCCTCTCAAGCTTTTTATCTTTACCTTTCATCTCATATAGAAAATTTTGATTATAAATATTAGCATTTTTTATTTGACTACTTCCTAGATATTAGAATTAATTCTCAAAACCAAACATAGTTGAACAACACCCTCTACAAGTAACACGTTACTTCTTTTTTCTTTTTTTAATTTTTGCTAAACAGTTTGGTTATAAACTTATAAATATCTAACGTAGTATTATCATGATACATAAAAATTTGAGCAAGGGCAAAAAAAAAAAAAATGCATCAATGTCTAAACTACTTGGTATATCTATTTTTAGATGACATATATCATTATATACTTCTTGATGGGTCGAGGGACTCTATTCGGATAACGAGGTTAAAAAGATAAGATTCCATCCAAGACATAATTGGAAAACCATATCCAATTAAGCTTTCTCTATGAGTGATCTAAATAACCTTGTTTTTTATAGTATGATTGAATAACCGAATTTAGTTCTATCAATAAAAGAGACAAATAATATATCTATTTCTTATATTGTGATATATTAATATCAAGAATATTTGTCACTTAATTGGGTGTTAAAGATTGTTGATAATAAAAAATTAGATTGCCATTCCTCTATTTATATGCAATTTGACAAGGTCATTGATTATGTAAATAATTTAGAGGCTCGAGGTTCCAGAATTTGAATCTTTATGCTTGATTGTCGCTACTTATTATCTCTTTCGTACATGTATCACTACACCGTTGTCTTTTTAAATCATCATTTCAAGCCATCATCTACTCCACACACCGATTTAGTCATCGAATGGTTTTTCAATGTAATTGGAGGACTTGCTTTGGAAGTATTTTGAATAGCTTAATATTTATCCATCATACAAATTCACAATTGTACCAACCAAGTAAAAGCCACATAATCACTATGAGGTTCACAACACTACACCAAAAAGGGGTATTCTAGGCGAGTTTTTTATCTTGTAGAGCGGTTAATAAAATCTAACGACGATTATACAAACCACCTCAAAATCGCCTGCAATGCTCGTCGTCTCTAAAATATAGCGAGTAGTTTCTTCAACTCGTTATGGAATTTTAAGGCGATTGTTTAGAGGCGATTGAACCACCTCAAAATAATGCTTTTAAGGTGGTTAAAATCGCCCTATATCAATTTTTCCTATGTTAATTTTTAGCACATAGGGGTGGTTGGTAACCGTCTCTAGATTCTTGA